GGTTAATTTTTAGTTCAAGTGGTTATAAGAGTGAATTCTTACCAATTTGATGATCTGAATACGAGGCTCTTTTTGAGAAGAGGGAAGAGGGGGTGAAATCTATTGATTCTCTTCTAAAAAATAAAAATAAAAATAAAAAATAGTGTTGAATCTTTAAAAATGAACAAGTTAATCCTCAAATTGAATTAAAGTTGCACAACCAGTTCTAAAAAAACAGAAATTGTCTTTTGTATTGATCATAATATGAGAATCATGGAAACGCATCACACTAAAATTTTAGGCAGAAGTCCAAGTTGAAAAGCAAATTCTAACTTTATCAATTAGACACGTGTAAATGAAACGATTATGTTAGGTTTTTAGTGTGTTGGCAATTCTTTAGACAAAAGGATTGTTATAAAATAGTTGTAAAAGTCAATGAGTTATTTGATTGGTAGTATAGTTCTTGAAGGAATTCAAGATGTCAAGAAGATCACATATGATCAAGGGAATGCAATTAGAAGTCTAAAAAGTATCAAAAAGTCGTACAAGTTATGCTTCAAATTCTTAACCGCAACTTGTAATACATTTTTCACATAGAAAAAAAAGGGAAAATGGATAAGGCTATTTATAGAAGAATTGTAAGTTAGCTTTTCAACGCATTTTTAATCACTTCAATCGGATATCAGGAGAGAATGTTATGATAAAAATACTGACGACTGCTCAGCTATTGCTCGTCTGTCGCTGAACTATCGCTCGAGCAACAGTGTTTCCCGAGGAAACCCTAGTTCGCATTTTAAAGAGTTTTAAAGGGACTAGACTATCTAACTACCTTTTATTATAAATACTCAAGCCCTTGCACCTTTTTTTTTTTTTTTTGTGGTTGTTTATTATTATTTATCATTATTTAGAGGTCCAAGAAAACATTCATCCTTTGTGATTTATCATTTTCACTCTTGAGATCATTCAACAACATTTTGAGAAAACATCAAATTGAAGAATCCAAAACACCCACTTCCAAAATTCATATTCGGGAAGGCACTTTAAGAGTTGCTCAAGATTGATGGAGGTTGGACAGCAAGCACATGAAGAGTGTAAGAACAATGCGTTTTTGGTGATCCACATGAGATACACAATTTCAGAAGATCGAGAGTAGGTGTGAGTGAAGCACATTCCATCGAATTTTGGAGATTGCAGGAATTAGATCGTGAATTTTCTAGGCTGGATCATACTGTAAGTTTACATTGTCTATAGTGAAAACTATAGAAAAATTGAATTGATTGACTAACCATCTAGAAACAATTGAAATGACTTGTTGCTTATTAATTGTTAATTTTAATTCCACATTAGGGTTGAACTAGTAACTAACTTAACGAAATTTTGGAAAGTTTTTGTCTCTGAATTGTGCACCAATAGTAAAAGACTATGAGAACCAACTTACTCATTTTCAAATATTGGACCAACTTATAGTTGTCTTATTAACTAATATCTTATTTTTCAGTTCGCGTTCCTCAAGAGAGGTGGTGTATTAGTGGTCACCTAACTCACCTCAGCTTGAGGACGAAAAGTGCAATTTTGTGTTTCAATTATTAAATAGTACGAGACTATATCGAATCACAACAATTATGAAATACATAGTGATACAAAGTCTTGTCAGAGTGTTAGCAATTGTAGTGTACACATGTAAATGAGTATGAAGCATATGTCGGCATGAATTTGAATCTAACCAAAATATGTAGTAGTGTCATAATGTAAAAGCTATGAATTTGTCATGTCACATATTAGAATGTAGTCTAGTGGTTGTAAACTAGAATTGACTACACTAAAATTCAAAATTGCAATTATTAGGCTGTAAATAAGACATGGTAGGTCACTTCTTATTGGGGTCAGTCTTGAGAGAAATGAAGTTTCAGTTAATGTGTAAAAAATTGATGTATCAACTATTTAGGCAACTCAAATTAGGGTTTTGGACCTCAAAAAAGCCAAATGTAGCAAATATTAACTAGTTGCTACTCACCATTTCAACCTAGAAATTATTGTGAGACTTTGGAGGAGTTTGGGGGGGGGGGGGGGGGGGGGGCCAA